AGTGCCCTTGCCTAGCACCACTCCCAAGCCTGGCACTATGCTGAAACTTCACCACAATGGGGCTGCCAGCCAAAAACCCACACCCAGCCCCTGGGAGCCATCACAGCCAGGCCGGACCAAGGGGAACTGGGCAGAGACCAAGGCACCAGCCAACTCAGGCAGGGCGAGAGCAATGAGAAACAGCAGAGAGCCGAAGTGTGGCCAGGCTGAGAGGGTGGACAGGGCTAGCACAAATCCCCTCTGCCCCCTTTTCACCTAAGTCTGGCAGGAAGGAGATGCTGGTGACCATCCCTGCAGGCACTACCAGCTCCACAGCAGCTCCTGCCTGCTGCCAAGACAGCCATTTCTGCACGCTGCTTGTTTTTCAAGTCTGCACCAAAATTGCTTCTTTTCACTCTGTGGTACTGTGGAGGTTGTGGTCTCTCCTCTTGTCTAAACCCCTTTCATTTTTTTGCTTTAACTTGTTTAGAATTGATGCTGTACAACTGCTTCCCCTAAAATACAGAGTGCAGGAGCTTCCACCTCCTCAAGTGCTTTGAAACCTTTTCTCCTGCTCTGCCACTACCTGTTTAAGAAAAACCTCAAAGCCTGATTTCTTCCTTCAAATGGCTTATTCTGAAAGAGTTCTCAGTGTTTTTTGGGAGCACAGATAAAAAAAAAAACAAAACACTGAGATAAAAGTCTGAAGCTTCTGAAAAGGTTAGACCTGGGCCTCTGCTGTTATCTAAGTAAGGCTACAGGCACACAAACAACTCATTGCAGAGATATAGTGGAGTACAAATTTGCAGTGACTCACGCACTCTGAAGTGACTGCCATGTGCTCACTTCTACCCCACAGCAAAGCACAAGTTTATTTACCCATCAACATAAGATGAGAAGAACAAACCAGCATCTCAGATTGCACAGCACCCCTGCAGCTTCACCACCTAAATTACTGCACAGAAACTTCCCCTTCTGCATACATTTCAAGAGTTACTAAGACAAGTGATAATTCCAATGGCAATCTGGAAAATACTGCTGTCCTGCCAGTGGTGACACTATGTTACTGGGATGCCGCTTTCCTTCACCTACAAATTCTTTGCTGTCCTTAACTTCTTCAAAACGTGAAAGAGCAGCCCATGTACTTCTCGCAGCCAGCAACAAGCAGGCCAGGACCCTTATACAACTGCCAGTCAGGTATGCATGGTCCCCAGATCCCCCATTTAATTGATCCAGCTTTGTTACTCCCCTCTTCAGTATGCCCAAGTGTCTTCTCAATTCAACCACAAAGCCAAAATTTCCATCAGTTGCTTAGGAGCCCTGTGGAGGAAACTTCCAAAAGCAGCCAAGTCTTCAGCCACTACTGGAAGAATTAATCTCACTCAACACCAGCTGCCTAGCCCAAGTCTAACATCTAGGCTCTCTCTTTAGTCCACTTAAAGAAGGACACACTTCATTTAAACAAAGATGAGCTGCTCTCCAGATGTGTCTCTCTCTGTCCTTTCGTGGCAGATATTGCCTCAACATCTACTTCAGGAAACGCACCTAGTGTTAGATGAGTGGGAGGCCACTCGTGAGATATTCTAAAAAATCTCTTCCCTCACCCTGAGTAAAAGAGTATGAACTAGCCTCAGCAATTTCACGTCAGCCTCGGGGAACTGAACTCTGAAGGGAAACAATGGAGTTGCAGACTTTGCACGTGGGCTAGTCCTTTCTCATAAATCAATCACAAGGCCGCAGTTCCACAACATCCTGAAGAGCTGCACTCTTTTTTTTTTTTTTTTTTTGCCACCTCCCTCAGTACCTACAACTCAGTCTGAGATGTCCTAAATTCTTCCTCCAAATACATCTCGCAGACCAGTTATAACTCCTTCTTCCCAATAATGCAATAATGTAGCTCAGAAGGAGACAAGAGGGGCAGCAAGATACAGAAAGACTTATTTTTGAAGCAACTGAAGGAAATGGAAGACTGGTGAAAAAGGTTAAGCCTTGATACAGATTTCCCCACGGCAGGAGGCCCTTGAACCACATTACTGGCCTCACTCCTAGCTTCTGGGAGATTAGCACTTGTGCTGCATGCCTAAACGCATATGAGTCCCACAAAGTGCCTGCAGAGCACTTCTCACTCCAGGCCAGAGACATCAGGTCCTCAGAGTGGTACTAGATCCTGACCAAGGTCTCGATGAATGAAAAGGAACCTCAAGTGGAGACAGCAAAAATGGGAGAGGGACAACCAACCATGCTTGCTGTTCGTGAGGTGGATAGAAGTGTACTTTCAAGGCCAATCAGCACATTTTTGAAGGTGACAAGACTATTTTTAGCTGCAGAGCCCTGGATAGCCGTCAATACTGCTCAGATGGCAGGAGCAAAGGTGCATCTCAGCTGCTCTGATCCAAGCTGAGATATCCCGGTGCAGACAGCAGCCCCGTATGCTGCTGCACCAGTCCCATTCCCCCAAAACTCCCATCTCCCCCATCACAGGGCTGTATCGGGAAGAAACCCTTCAGCTCTTCTCTCCAATCACAGCACAGAACAATTCAAAGCGCCCACAGCAGCAAGTCTAAAATCAACACTGCTTCAAATCCATCCATTTCACACATAAACAGAGAGAATAGAGATGCTAACAAACCTGTCTCCCTCCAGGCTTTGCTGCTGCCAAAAGAGAGCCACTCAATCTAATGAGTCAATTAAAAATTCATAACTGGATGAAAGAAAAAAACAAAGTTTGGTTCTGTTTCTGAGAAAATGAGAACAATAACTCTCATTTAGCTCTTGTGTACCTCTTCTTGCACATTGTCTGCAGCAACAAAGCCAACCTGAAAACTCATGACCTGTAGCTGAGAGCTTAAAATGACAGGAAAAGAAAAGGATGCGTGCTCTGCCCAGCCCTGCAGAGAAGAGCCCTTTTCCCCAGCAGGACTTCAGGGTCTGACAGGGCTGAAGTCAGCATCGGTTCACGTGAATGGGAGCCAGAGGAGAAGCCCTCTGTAAAGGCTTGTCCTCTACAGGTCATCGCAGGGGACACTCTGGAAAATTCAGTTTCTGCCAGAGTTTGGTTAAACCACAGAAAGCACCTATGCAGATACACACATTCAAAAAGCAAGTGACCCTAAGTCACTTCTGAAATGAATTTTCAAAGATGAATTAAGCTAAACCAAATTAGGGTCCCAAATTCTGAGCGCAAGAATCCACGAAGGGGCATAATGTGATTTAACTAATCCACTAAAGGTTACTTTAGATCAATTTTCTTAAGCATCCCCGACACACGTAAGCCTCAAAGCCAATGTCCTCAAAGTACTGTTCATGGGTGCCTACAGAGTCCCAAATCTTAACGTGCCTCGTACCTGTGGCAAGGGTAGGACAGAGCAAAAGCATACCAACCCAGCAAGACCTGGGTTGGCCACCGAAGCAGCTGCTCAGCTACAGTTAAAGCCAGGAGGGCACTGGCTCCCCAGCGCCCAGGGAGAGCGGCAGCTCCCCGCTGCCCAGCCATAGGACACACTGGCTACACTTGCCTGCGTCCCTGCCCCATGCTGCACCCCACGCCAGGGGCTAACGCAGGTACTCTCGCTTGCTCTTAACAGCTCTGCTGTAAGGACCCCAGCTCATGGGCTGGTTTTCCACAGGGTGCAGCTCCCTGGCAGAGCAACTGAGCTGCAAACTCTTGACTGCCACAACCCCACCCTGCCCCCAGGCACTTTTTTTCACTGGGTGTTGGTTTTCAATGCACTTCACTCCCAGGTGACTTTACAGAAGCAGCGCTGACTCAGTCTCGGTTAAACTAAAGGGGGAACTGCAAATCTGGACACCTGAAGCAAATCACGGAACTACAAAAAAAAAAAATAAAAATCAAGCGTCTACCTCCCAACTGCTCATGGACATCAGATGGGAAATCAGGCACCTAAATAAGCACGTGTACCCAGGCCCTGGGGCTTCACCCGGGAGAGTGGCTGGGCTGGCACCTCTGAAGGGAAGGAGCCAAGCTGCACACAAGCTGGAGCCAAGAAGTGCAACCCAAAGGAGGGCTATTGTGATTTAAGTTCACACCCCAGCTCCTTTCACAATAGGTTTCCTGTGTCAACATGGCCTGAACCAGCAACACCATGACCACCTAGCAAGTCTGGATAATGCCAAAGTGGTTTCCAAACCAGAAACCTCCAGGCTCATGAACATCTCCTAAGAAAAGCAAGCTTACTGCCTGTGGGCTTAAATTTGCTAGAGGGGTGTCTCTGCTGCGGAGGAGCTCTTTTAGGAGTCCTTCAGCCAAAGAGTTTGATGGAAGCTATTTAACTGCTGTTAACCGAGTTAGAGACTTCAAATCCAATCACATTTTGAGATACAGAAAGCAAGCTAAAGCCTGAAAAGGTCAAATCAGCTAGTCAGAGAGGTGCCATGGAAATACTCCAGATTTTAAATAACCCATTTTTGATTTTTCTAATGTGGACAGAAAAAAAAAAAAGCACTCTAACTCCCCCACATTCATCTACACACAGCTCTGTCCGATTGGTGTGCTAGTTTCAGGATGCATTCAGCACTGCCCTCTGTTAAGAGCCTAAAGATGACCATCTCTCTTGTTCCCTTTACCTGCCGCTTATTATCGCTCCCCTCTTCCCCAGTCCACTATTTCACCACCTTTGGCACATAGCTCTCTCCTCTGCAGCTTGTGCCATCTGGAGCAGCCTCCCTTAACCCTCTCTCTGCGTCAATCAGTTCCACATCCCTCTTGCAAAATTTCAGGCACGGCTTCAAATGTTCCTCTCCCCAGCTATGCTGACTGGTGTTTCTTCATTATAAGGGCCTCATTACTAAAGAAAGCTTGATTTCACCTACGTCTTTATACGGTGATTTCCTGCAATTCTCACTACCGTGCCACCTGCTCTCTGCTCCTATTCTTCCTCACTGGTGTTTCTTCTGACACCTTGTGTAGACTACAGCACACACAGGAGGTTCACGGGTTTATGCTGCAGGCCAGCTGGGAGATGCCCTATCGCCCCAGCCGTGCCATTAGCAGGACAGCTTACCCACGAGGTTCATCTTGGCGCTGTAACTCCCAAAGTACCTCTCGTCGGTGTTGGGCGTGTGGCACTCGTACTCCCCAGCATCCCGGTCCTGCAGCTCGGTGATGTGCAGCAGGACGGCGTCCCCCTGCACCCGCTCCACGTAGATCCCCCGGCTGCGCACGCGCTGGGTGTAGATGGCGTAGGGGAAGGAGGGGTCGACGGTGCTGACAATCTGCACCTCCCGCTCGGGGGCAGAGGGCAGGTAGATGGACCACTGAAAGTTCTGCTCCGCCGGGCCCTGGTAGCCGCTCACCTTGCACCACAGCGTGACGTGGGACCCCTCTGTGCGGTAGAGGGGCCCTTCCTGCACTGCCACTTGCCGCTGGGCCAAGGCCATGCCTGTGGGAAGAGAGGAGCCCAGCATTAGTTCTCGGCAGGCAGCCCTCGCACCTCCCCCAGATGTACCTGTCCTACCCATTCCGCAGCCGCGCACAGCAAGGCAAGTCCTTGCACCCCATTTTACAACTGGCACACGGGGCTCTGGCACAGCACCTCCTCCAGCCACGTTGCAGTTTTCTTGCTGACCTAAATGAAGTGTTTTTTAAGAAGTCCCATGAAAAAAGTGGTGTTGAGAGAACTTAAAACCTTTCTTTGGCAGCAATAAGAATCCAGGCACAAAAAGGTACAGCACTGAACAGCAACAAACCAGAAACTCAAGCTGACAGTGCTTTGTTTTCAATGCTACTCTTATTTTCCAGCCCCATCACCCTGCGATGCCAGGCATGGGTTGCTGCCAGAGGGCACTAAAAGGTGGCACGCAGCCACTCTTCAGCACCCCAGTGCACGTGGGTGGCTGGGGAGCCGCTGCTGGGGCTTCCTGGCTCAGCAGTGACTCCCTCTTCTCCTGGCATAGCCCAACAGGGACCATCTTCCACCAGCAGAGAGGCCCACGTGCAAGCCAGCAGGCTACACTCCCTCTCCTTGGGTTTCTGGGCTACCCAACTGAAATGCCACAAACATCTGTCCTCCATCAGCAAACCTGCTTGAGACTTCGGCTGGTATAAAATCCCATGCTTTTTCCCCCAAACCCAGTACACCTTCTCCAGTCTCTCTGTTACACTTGCAAAGGCATACGGGGAAATACCACGCTTCCAGCACTATCTTCCCAAGTCTATTTGAAAGGAGTATATTTAGTACATAACAAAACCAATTAAAGTTAATGGAGGGAGTGGGCATATTAAACTAAGACTTACCACCCCTGGCTGCTGGAAATCGAGACCTAGTACTGTGCACTGTACACACGCAAACTCTTGTGGCACGAAACAAAGACGATCCCACAGCACGGTGACTGCGATCTGCTGTATTTTTACACAGATTATGGATGACTGGCCCTTGGGCTCATGGCACATTACCAGTACAGCCCTCCAGGGGCCAGATAAATTACAGCAATCTATCTTGTTTGTTGCTACATCAAAGGCTTGAGGTCTGGAGACCACTGTGGGTGTTCACCGGTTATTGAGTTACCAGCAGCATGTGCACATGGCGAGGCCAATCACCCTGGCTTCTGTGACTGCTTGCTTGCCATCATAAAACAGCAATAAGCCGATTTAAAGCAGGTCCTGCATAATCACGTTTGCAAATTTCATCCTCTCTGTGTGTGTACACATTGGGTTGCTCCCCCCCCCCCTAGTTTTCTACAGCAATGTTCAAGTGCAGAGAAGAATTTAACCTTTCAAAAACTAGCAACTTACAGGTGGAAGAGGTAGCCAGGCATCTGGGGATTACCAATTCAATCCTGCCCTCTGGACATGGATGTCCAGATAAGAAGTTTTTCTCCACAGCCAGCCTGGATCGGAGCCAGGAGAGATGGTTCTTACCAGCTTAAAACAAATTGTGAAAAATGGGTTCAGCATATCCATCAGGCCGTGCAGCTGAACAGATGGAGTGCAATTCAAACTATTAACTTGGGCTCAGCTCGCTGCTGCTCCAAATTATGTTTCTTTTTACTCTTTATGAAATAATGTGATTTAAGGGAAGGACGGGGAAAGCTAGCACGTTCAAAATGAACAGGGAGAGGAACAACAGAGGCAAACACTCCCCCACTGTTTGCTGTACCAATCTCTTCATCCTGCAGAAAGATACCGCTAGAGACAACTAACACATCTAAGGTGCAGACAGCCTCTTCTCTCACCCCATAAAGGCCAAAGGACAAAGCAAATACTACAGCCTTTGAAGTAAACTGTTTTTAAAGCAGCAGGAAGGGCAAGATCTTAGCTCATAACACAGTTTTTGTATGCACATGTAGCCTTGATACAGCATACAGATACCCTGCACGCAATGAGACAACTAAAACTGCGCCACAAGGCAAACATGCAGTGGTAGGAATTAAAAGTTGCACACACCACACTCATTCAGGTATTTCTTAGCTGAGTGCATGACCTTGATTTGCAGGCTTTCAATGCAACGCTGGGTTGTTTTACACAGGAATTCTTTGAGGAGTTTTCCAATCCAGTTGAAAATCTTCATTATCAGAGACACGCATCGGCCCTTCCAAAGCTCGCTGGCAAGATCACAATCTCGGAGACCCACAATGCAGATCTCTGCATCTTGATGCATGCAGCCTTTTGATAACTGTCAAATCCCACCACCCTCATGGCCAGCACTAACGCGAGCTTCCTTCTTCCCTTACCAGCGGTTTTTGGGACCTTGCCTGTAACCCTCCAACCTGGAGTCCTGCTCCAGGTTTGGAAGAGACCCACTTTCTGCATTCCTCCTCTCCCATTCCCCCTTGCACTGGATTGCTGCATCTTCCTGATCCAGCCAAAAGTGAGCGAGATAAAAGCTCAGAGCTCCTTGCTTCCCGTTCTGGCTCCAGAAGCCCAAGCAGCTGAGGGACAGAAGAAGCCCTGCCCAGCTCCAGCGTGTACGGAAGACAGAACAGTCAGGGTTTTGCCACAACTTGCAGCATGTTTCTGTTGAGCCTCAGAGAGGCAAGACACAAAGGCTCAGCAGTTGGTTGAATGGGGTGGATCTCCAGAGGGGCAGGGAGCAGCACATCTGCAGTGCTCTTGCCGTTGCCTGGCCACAAACGCCTGCTCCAACACATGGGCACAAACGCTCTTCAACACTTAAAAAAACCCCACACAGCAGAAGCAGAGATACTTCTCCAACAAATTATTTTAACTGAGAAAGGGAAGAAGAAAAACAATCAGCCTGAGATATCCACCACTACAAGTTTTCTCCTCAAACAGTTAAATTTGCACAGTGAAGGGTGTTTGGCAGTTTCCTAGCTCTGGGAATTGCTATATCTACGAACACACAGTAGCAAGAAAAGAACTGCATTTCTTAGCGAGGAAGCGTTCTGATTAACAGAAATAATGTGCCTGAGATCCCATTTTAAACTCTTATCTTTCCCTCTCGAAGCGAGAGAAGAGCTCACTGGAGGAGGAGCTGTGCGCTCCACACCTCCCCTAGGATGCCCAGGAGACAGTTATGGTGGCATTTGGCTGGTACTTCACTGGCACAGCTGGCTTTTAATTGCAAATCCAATATAATTTACTGACAATGCAAGGGCTGATATGGAGGAGGTAGTGAGCCAAGAGCTACTTTAATAAGAAATGATAGGTTTGTGCATCTGTTTTTTTCCAAAAGGCAGCAAATCCCACACAATAAGGAGGAAGTGTTCCCTGATCCTTCTCCCCTACAGATGAGGGCTACTGTGGCCAGCCTTTTGAGCTAAGAGCAGGCCAAACAACAGCCAGGCAGCTCTCAACACTTCCGCTGCCTTACCCATCTCCCAGGCCCCATCTGGGAGACTGGAGGTGCATGGGGGAAAGAGGAGGCAGCAGCAGCAAGAAGGGATGGTACAGCCGGGCAATTAGACTCAAGGTCAGGCAGCATGGGGACTGTGTGGGACTCGGGCACCAGCAGATGCCTGGTCCCAGTGCCTTCCCTACGCCAGCCCGCCCAGCAGGCTGCAGGGCCACAGCAAATGTCATGCAAAGCAACTCTGAGAGGCAGGTGAGAAGCAAGGGAGAAATGCAATGTCAGAGTCACTTGGCCATTGGTGCCCCTTGTCATATCACAACCAGAACTTCAATGCCTCTCCATTCAATCAACAAGAAAGAAAGCAGCATCAAGCATCCCTGCCAGCCATCTCACCCAGAAGCACTGTAGCTCAGCTTCTGAATACACTTTGTCTTTGCAAAATCTGCACCCTCCCAGCAACGTCAGCTGACTACAGCAAGATCTGATCTTTCCACTGGGAGACATGCAGACCTCAGGTTTTCCAGACATGACTGGTCATTTCACGTGCTTGATTTTAAACACTTTGAAGATGCCCCATTTCAGAAAGTGCCAAACACTTTCTCTTTGGGAAGGAGGTGGACCTCCAGGCCCCTTTCAGAAGAACGGGCATGCAAAATTGTATCTGAGAACATTGATCTAAGGCTTATCGCGAGGGATAGGCGAGTATAATGAAAGAAAGGATGGCTGTGCACACAGAAACCTTGCCAAGGCATTGACACACCAAAAGAATAAATAAAAACAAGGGACAGAAAGAACAGGAACCTCTTGAACAAACACTCTCCCCATCTCTGAGAGCATGGGTTATGCCTTCACCACACCCAAAGGCACCACAGCAAGTTGCATCAAGCTATCTTAGATATCAATAATCACTGTCAGTAGACCTTTACTTAAACTAAAAGAGAAACTTGAGCTCTTGCAAGGAGCAGCATCCTGTGTCTCTAATCATTAGAGAGTAATCAAAAAAAAAAGTCTTTATATTTTTTGTATCTTCCAGAAGCATAGGGCTGACGGTGCTCAACACCAAATGGATTACATAGCTTGAAGGGATGTTTCTACCCCTGCAGCTTTACAGCAGTTTTCCTTCACTTCGAAGTCTAAAGCAGTATTTGTCAATAACTGATAATGCTAATACTAAATTTCCTTTAAAAAGTACTTTGTGCCTTTGACTACAACTATTAGACAGAAAACATCCAGAGATTACTCTCCCCATCCCTTGCACAAATACACAGCACACATTCGGGTTTGGGTTTTTTTTTTGTTGTCACTATTGTTTGTTCAATTTGTAAATGCTCCAGAAAAAAAGCATCAGAGAAAAGCAATACCAATGATAAACACTAGGCAATGGCTTCTATGTGAGAAATAATGGAGCAGGCAAGGACTCTGGCCTGGAAAAAAAGATGACTTTTAAGAGCATCTGGTAAAGGTCTATACAAATATGCATGCCATGGAGAGGATGCTCAAGAACTGACCATTTACTATCTCTTGTAGCCTAAAAACCAAGGGCCGTCAACCGAAACTGGTCAGATCCAGTATTACAAGTGAGGCAGTTCTTGCAGCTGCACACAGCAGACATGGGGACATCCTTGCCAAGGGATGTTGTGGATATGGAAAGTTTACACGGGTTGAAATGTGGGTGGGACAAGCACTTGAAAGAGGACTACTAAACAGGTAGATCATATCAGCTTTGGGAGGCTCCCAGAATAAGCAACAATTGCATAGCTGTCTGCCTACATCTTTTTGAGACATGAGATGGAGCTATGTGGATGACCCTTAGTCTGAACTGGTACACCTGTCCTCATGCCCCTTCAGAACATGTGTCCTTGCAGGCTATACTCTTCAGCCCTACGGGTCACATCTGGTCTGTAGGCTATGCATTGGCTATACCACAACAGAAACTGAAAAAGGCACCATTTCAGCTTTTTCTCTAGAAGCGTGGCTATCTCTGCTCTGAACATGGCCAGCTGAACCGGTTCCATCAAAGTACCCTCAGAACTGAAGCGGGAGCCTGTGCCCATGTGCAGGGAAGGGAAGGGGAGCGTGCATAAATCCTGTTTGGCTATGACAAATTAGCATCTGCAGCAGACCACAGGACCTGGCAGAAAGTCTCCAGCAATGAAGACAATTCAGACACAAGTGCTAAAGAGCAGTTACACTAAAGTGTCTACTTCCTAGCTTGAGAGATGCTCTGGGCACGCACAACCAGAGAGCAGGTGGAATCGCCAAGTGCATCACAGGCTGTGGCAACTGCTGCCCTCCTGCAGGTCTGGGGCTCGCTCAGGCGAGAGCAATGCAGGGGCCCAGGCTTGCCACCCGACTGGCCCTTGCTCTCCAATGCATGGCATGGCACGGTTTGAGGTGAGGCGAGTGCCAGCAGACTCTTCCTCTGGCTGCGCTTGGCACCTTCAGCCCTGGCCCAAGGCATACCTGTACCCCACTCCAACCACCCAGCGAGGAAAGGATACCGTGCCCGCAACAAGGAAACAGTTTTCATCCAGTCCAAGGGCACTGTTGCTTATTAGCCAGTGTTGTTAATCTGTTGCTTCCCCACTGCCTCACATACACTCGCAGCCCACCACAAGCAAGGATGGCAGCACTGCGGGGCGATGCCACAGCCTGCAGCTCACGGCAGCAGGCCACAGAACAGCAGGAAAGGGAGAAGCAGCCTTCGAGCTGGAGCAGCTCATGCACTGGCCGCTTTCACAAAGCAATGGGGCACATGCAGCTAATTGTAGCCTAGCAAGCAGGGCTTCCGGACAACTCACTCCTCCTCAGTGCTTCTAGTCCCCTAGCCCAAAACAGGAGCATCATGCCCTGCACAGGCTTCCAGCAAGTTGCTCAGGGACAGTGAACACCCTTCAGTCTTAATTCAGATTAATTTTTCAGTCTCCCTTGGGGACGATGCTTTTCAGGGGGAGGGCCCTTCCTCTCTCCTTTCTGTCCCTTAGGGAGGACGCAGATGGCTTTTGCCAAGACCAGCCCCTTAGCCCTGCTGCGGAGTCCAAAGAAAAAGCAGTGACTGATATCCACAAAACAAGTGTTTTGTTTCAAGAAGGCTCTTCCAAACTCACCATTGCCCAGTCACCGAGAACACCTCCCCAAGCAGCCGTCTTATTTTTCATCGGCTGAAGACTAACACAATCTCTATGAGAGACTCTGCCCCAACAGGCAACACCAAAAGAGGGACAATCTTCTAGCGACATGAACCTGCTATTCTGTGAATTCTCCTGCTAACACGTACAAATAAAAATTAGGTTCTATATTAATTTTTGTATAAATGAGTCACAGCAGGGACAATTTCTGTACACTGCAACCTGCTGCCAGATGGAAAAAAACAATGCTATCAGAAGAAAACATGTGGTAACCCTCCCCTCATTTCTGTAAAGCCTCAGTCTGGGAAAATACAGTATTTTGCTTGATGTATTTTTTGTCATGCCAAGAGAGTTCACTGTGCTGAAAGGCTGGCTGGAGTCACCTGCAGAACAGCTGTGTCCCTATCCTCCACCCTTTTGCTTTGATCTTTCAATCATGCTACCAAGGGTGCCTGATCCCCTATCCTCCTCCTCTGCTCCTGCCACCATCCCACCACTCCCAGCACATGGACTGTCCTTCCTGAACTGACTCAAAAAGCTCTTCATTCCTCATTCAAATTCCTCCCACTGCTAAGCCAACTAAGGATGGCTAAGTAGAGAGGTCAGCCAGGAACAATTTATACAATAATTGGTATGGAAATATCACAATCAGTGGGGAAATATCAAAGCACAGGCAAACGAGACAGGAGCTGCCAATGAAGCTCTTTGTTCTTCCAACACAACTGCTTTCACTCATCTCTGCTAGCTGCTCTGTTTCACAGCCACTCACTTCCACAGCAGATGTTTACTGTCTTTTAAGAAAAATGTTTTCAATAAATATGAAAGGGGTGACATTTCTTTTAATCACCATAGATTATTCTGGCCTGTGACTAGCTTCCCAAGTTCTGCCTGCAAAAGAGGTCTTGTACCTCTGCTATAATTATGCATCCAGTCAGACATCCAACGCCCTCACCAAGATCAGAGCCATTTTTCATCCTTTGGTTCTTCTCAGATCTGGTCTTTATATTGACAGATGACTTCCTTACTTTCCCCAGTACAGCACTGGTATTCTACAGCTGCACAGTGTTAAATGTGATCTGCCCATGTGATTTTTTTCTTTTTTTTTCTTTTTTTTTTTTAAGCAAACCTCATACTATATGGATATCACATTCCTCTTAACTGTTCCTTCTCTGTGTCTACAATTAGGTGCGTTAAAATGTGCTACTTTTAACATGGCCTTAGAATGGCATATTCTTGAGCCACATATCATCTCTATTACTACAACCTTTAAACTTCTAAAAATGCTCGAAGACGGAAGGAATAATTCATTATCTACATTGGACACCGAGAAGACAAGAAACAATAGGCTTGGAGTTGAACAGCAGAGATTCGGGTCGGGCAAGGGGGCTAGGTATATTTTTATCTTCCCAGAAGCAAGAAAAGTGAGGCACCAACAAGGCTTCTTTGTGAGACCAAAGTCTCTCATGCTACAGATCCCTCTGACAGACATTTACTTTCTTCAGGAATACCATAGGTGGAGATGAATCTGCCCTGCGGGACGCACAACACAAGATCTCTTACAGTTCTGTCGTTCTTGATCATCCCATCAGAAAGTACATTTAAAGTTACTTAGCTGCACTAAAGCCTGCAATGACTAAAGTCTTTAATCTAGTATAGCTTTACTTTGAAAAGTCATGGAAGTCCAGAAGCCAGCCAGCCATGCCTGTGGTCAGAGGAAAAGAGCGATACCCCATATTAACAACAGGAAGGAGGATGGCAGGGCAGCCATTCTGCACGCAGGTCCCTGAGCTCAGCGGCTCCTGGTGCTCAGCTCCTTAATTCACACAAGCTTTGAAGAAGCTGGTGGATCAAGGTGTACCTGATGCAAAAGGTGAGTAACAATACGTGCTGATGTACG